AATTTACTAATTTAAAAAAAAAAAAAAAAAAAAAAAATCCAGAAAACTTTATATATATAAGCACTGTGTCTTGCCAGCAAAGATTCTTCCCTGATTTCAGCAATCCAAAGCCAAAAGCCAAGGTTAAAGACAGAGATTCTGGCTGCATGTACAGTCTAAAATTAATTTTAGTGCAAGAGTCTACGTATTTGATTGGTCTGCATGGTTATAATTTATTTCTGGGCTCTAGTGTCTGGTAAATGTTCCAATCACTCTGGGCAAATCTCCTAAATTTTTTCCTCCCCTGCACAATAAATTTTGATAAATGTCATTTCCTGGCTTAAGAAAACTGCTCTGCATGCTACCTAGCTCACAGAGTTGCTCTACTTGTCTTGAAGAATGCCAGCAAGAAGTGCTTACAGAGCCTAATTTTTAAAAACCACTGAGAATTCCCAAAAGCCCTTAAGACCTATAGGAATTTAGTGCCTCTAAAAGGCAGAAGCAGGAGACTGAGTAGATCCTCTACCTCCACTTAATGTTTAATTATGTCACAGTAGTAAAGAGGCCTTTCACAAAGTAGTTTACACTGCATGTTCATATAATTTCAGCTACAGGAAGACTTCTGTCATATTTCCCCTCACTTACCCTGACGATATGTAAGTGCACTCTATTTGATTTCTCTTATTTGTACATCACTGTATAGCTATACTAAAAACATTCAGCACAGCTTTACATTCACAACTACTGCCACAAACGTTAAGACATTCTTAATTCTTCTTTCTTAAGGGAGAGTAATTGAGATTCTATGTGTTCCAAACAAACAATGTACAAAATCTAACACAAATTTGACACTCAACATTTCAAAAGATATTTTCTCTGAAACAAGTCTCCATATCAGCTGTTTTCTCCAGTTTCAGTGGTACGACTGACTACCTTTCTATTTGTCCAAATTTCCAGAAATCTAAAGAATCTGACTAAGCATGGATATTTGCTAATTTTTACTCTGTAAGGTATTGTTATTTAGCGTATGATCTATTCTCCTCACTTCCCCCAAAATACAGATTTTTTTTTTTAAACGGCAGAATAATTATTTTGAGAACTGACACATTGAAGTTATACTTTAAAAGCTTTACTATTTAATTAGGAGAGAGAGAACTTACAAGGAGATGTTTGCCTTACCATAATGAGGAATGATTGCCCAAGCCATTGCAGAAGCATAGATACCACCAATCATCCAAAACATACAGAGCCAACTCAGGTGTTCTCCTCGTTTCTCCCGAGCAAGCACTTCCGAAAAATAGGAGAAGACTGTTGGCACAGCTCCACCAATCCTAGAAGGAGATACATACCATGTGTTAAGGGAGAAAGTAACAGCCAGTTATAGTGAGAGCTAGGACACAGTTAGTGTCATTTAGAACCTAAACTACAAGCAGATTTCTAGCAAGGTTGTATTTTTTTTTTTAATTGCACCATGTACTGGAGAACAATATGCTTTCACCACCTTGGATGCAACTTTTGTGAAAGATTTCCTTGAAAACTGCATATACACTTCAGTATGTTCAGTGATTCAAATGGATTGCCAATGTGCTGGCCTTTGGAACAGAAACCAGCACAAAGTGCTAACTTTCACACAAATGCTGCAATCGTGGCCATCTATTTTTGAGCGTCAAAACATGCTCCGTTTTACTGAAATTGTTAGTAATTTTCCCAGAGGATAACAGGTATTTCTCTAGGTCTTCAGTCTTCTGATTTAGGCAACCAGGAAGTGACTAAATGAGAACTATATTACTAGTACATTTTATTCCATTCCTATTTAAAAAGATGTAATTTGCTAAGCCTGTGCTTGCTGTCTACATAATTTCTGTAATGGAAAAGTCAGTGCATTCATATCATATTCACAGTTTTTAATACAGTAAAAATAAACAGCATCTAAAGGTCAGCTGGGAAAAAAAGGATCTCAATGTGGTTTTGCAAAACTTGTGTAACTTAAATATGTACCAAGTTCCAGGTAACCTTTTACTGTTTTTACCTCTTCACTACACAGCACAAGCTTGTGTAAGCTATAATTTCTTGCTGAAGTAAATATCTATGAAGTTGGAAGAGATACACTTACATAACAGTTCACATCCTTACAAGAAGCAAAGTCTTGCATTGTTCAATTTTTGAACTCAACTTTTAAAGATAAATGTGTATTTATGCTGTCATTTTGATGATAGGTAAACTGGGAGTAAAACCAAGGATCTTACAACAGATTAAAACAAATATTAGAAAGGAACATATGAATACAGAAATGGAACTTCAGTCCTAATAAAAATCAGTTCCATGTCAATGCTGTCTACTTTAAGATACCTTCTGGTACAGCAATGAAATACTGCATTGAGCAGTTACATGCTATTCTATCACTTCATTCTGGGTAGCTTTTGACAAAGTACTGCCAATCAATTCTTACCTTTACAATTAATGTTCCATTGCTGGGCCTGTTAGCTCTAACATTCTGCAAGTTCTACAAAGAGGTGGGCAGTATCTCATATTATTTTCATGGTTAGAACACTGAAATTGTTTTGGCAGGGTATTGTCCTCCCTTGTAAGGAAGAGTGCCCTAGGAGGATATCCTGGAAGCTTGGGAAGAGGAATGGTAGAAGCAACATGGTGAAGAAAAGGACTGTGGCTCATTTTGCTGTAACTGGGTACTCCCTGCCCTCAGTGTTATTCTAGGGCATGTGGGCTCTCCTTTTCCCAAGGCTTAAGTGGATTACATTAATAACCTCTTACTGTTCAGGGCTCAGTCATAGCACTGAATTGCATTCCCACAGTATTCCTTCCTCAGCATCCAAGGAGGATCCATTTTGACCAGGGTGGGGTTCTTTCTTTTTTTGTTTGTTTGTTTGTATGTTTTACTTAGTTAATTGTTTTTTCATTTCAAAGAACAGTTATCCAGGGAAAAGTGACAATATATGAATAAGAAACTAATTCAATTTCTGATATCAGAAAAAAACATCCAAATTGAAAGCCATGCCTTTATAGTGTTATTTCTGAATGCTTTCTGTTTGTGGTTTTCTGTGAAATCATGAGGAGGAGGCAATCAAAATGGGATTTAAATGACATACCACAGGAGAGCAGAATTTAGTGAAATAAATAATAAACTAAGGTACATTTGCATTTTTTGTTGTCACAAACAAAGGTGATAAATGTCTGCTAACCTATCTTCATAGCTGTGATTTGTCACAACAGATTTTGGCAACTGCTCAGTGTCAGAGCTAGAATAAATGAAAACAACATTTAGGCGAGGCATTCAGGAGCCTCTGGCTTCAGGGACCCTTTTTTTATTTGCAGATTCATTAGCCAAAGAGGCTTGAAATGCCTCTTTGAATAGAGGCAATATAGGCACATAGGAATAGAGATAATTAGGAAAACAACAACAACAACAAAACCCTTACAAAATACTAAATGCACAAGCAGGATGGTGTTCTTCTCCTGAAATATCTTGGCTTCTTCACTTCCAAATCTGGAGAAGATTCAGGCTCAAAGACTGTTTCTGTGTATGTTGGTATTTTGCAAGTTTTCACCTTATTACTGATGATGTAATAAGTCCACGAGATCAAAACACACTTGCTATTCTGCTTCCAATACTTGGAAGCAGCCTATCACCTTCATTTCTCCACTCACACTTAATAGATTTTTATACTCCCACTTGCACAAATTCAATTAAAAACATCTTTGTTGTTTTCCTCCTAGAACATCCGTTAGATCAGTAAAATATGTGAGAACAAGCATCCAGATCAACTCGTTCACCTTGTGAACTGATGGATAATGCCCTATAAAACAGCAGCATGATGTAGATCACAGACTGTTGAACATTTCACAGAGTATACTACGTATACTAGAGATGTCTTCCAGGTACACATATGATCCATACTTTAATAATAGCAAGAGTCTCTGAGATAGTTTCACGTGATTATTTACAGATCTCTTAAATACTGTCAGTTCTGATGGAAACTGATAAGTAAATAATTAATTACTCGATTTTTTCAACATCAGTAAAAAGAGTTAAGAGAAATTTGATGTCAGATACAATCATATAATTACAAAGAGTTTTCTTGCAGTACCTGATCAGCTAGATATGTCAGATAAGCTGCCAGCATTGATAAGCACAAAGTCATTTCCACATCCACAGAGGCATTACTAGCAGAGATAGAGATGTGATCATCCCACAGGCCACAACTGAAGTTCTGGTCCCCAGACATAGACTGTCTGGAGAGTGGCAATAGGAGAGCTATAAAGATGACCAAAGACCTGGAGAATCAGCTCTATGAAGAAAGGATGAAGCAGTTATTTCACTCTGGAGAAGAACAGGTCCAGGCATGACCTTATCACAGTATTTCCACAATTGAACAGTGGCTAATAAAAGAAAGGAGTCACTCCCTTCACTTGGAGAACACAAGGGGCGATGAGTACAAGCTGGGAAACCTGGGAAAGGTTTTACCATTATGTAAAAAAGACATTTTTTACAATGAAACAAATGGCACGATTTCCCTACTGGTGTGATAGAATTCTTTTCAACAGAGACTTTCAAAATGTGGTTGGACAGGGTACTTGTCCATAGTTATATCATCTAGTCTCTCTTTCCCTGTGAAAGGTTGGATGTAATGATCATTCAAAGACCCTTCTTTTCAAAGACTCTTCCAACCTGGGATTTTCTATGAGTTTATGAAGTCTTGATCTTTCACAAACCTGATTCTCTCTCTTTTTCATTCCTCCTTTCAAATTTCTGCTTTCTCTTTAGGATTATATGTTGTATAGGCTCTCTACCTTGCTTATGTGTGTCAGTTTTCCAGCATTTCTCTTCCTTTCGTATAAATTTCCTTTCCCATCACAATCTTCTCCTCACACAACAAGCCACTTTTCTACATGCTCGGTCAGGTTTACATTATTCAACCTTTACCCACGTCTGAAGAAGAAAGGCTTGGAACCAAATCTATTTGAAAAGCTCAGACCTGGCCAACTTCTTTCTTGGCTTGTCTGAGAAACATATCAGCTCTTTTGGCATACACTATCAGCTCTGATGCCAGTAAACTGCAGAACTGTTCATTAGCTTTCAGAGTACACCTTCTGATAGCCATGGGTGGGAGGCAGCTGGAGATTATAGAGAAATTAGAGGCAGAAGGATTGTAACAGGGTAGAAGACATGTCAGAAAGAAATAGAGCAAATGAGCATGAAGATAAAAAAGATAGCTACAACATAATAATGAATACTGATGACACACAGAAGGAGCCTGTTCGTTGAGATCTGAGGATCTTGAAGGCAACAGCTTGTGTAGTTGTGCTGTGCAACTGCGTGGTGTTCACATGGCCCGTAAATCTACTAGAAATTTTTTGAAGATCTTGTGTGTATAGACCTGTCCTTCCTGTCCTCGTCATTCAAAATATGGGAATATAGAAAAGTATTAGAATTTCTTGCCTCTGTATGTAATGAACAAAAATAGCGGTAAATAGCCATTTGGCTGGATTTACATGGCCAGTCATCTCCAACATGTTATTTAAAATAAGCCTCATCCCACAGTTCTGTATTTTTTGTAACCATTGTCCTCCACAAAGGTGTGAAGGATTTGATTGCGATCTGTTCTAAACAGTGAGTTCAATATTATTACCATGACACCAGTACTTTGTGCTAGATGCTGATAATGTGGAAAGAGTACTGCAGGTAGCTTTGCAGAGATGTTTTCTGAGGAGTAGCTAAAAAAGAAGTCTGAAAGGGTGTCTAACATTTTTTGGAAAATAAATACTACCTAATAGTTCAGAGTGAGAAAAACTCTCATACTCAGGCAGGGATGGATTTTTAGTTGCATAAGTTGACCATATCTAAGCCATGTTTCCTAATATTTCTGTGGATCTTCAGGAGAGATTCAGTGAAACTTGTGGTTTTGACAATTTAAAAGAAATCTCTGTAGTCTGGACATAATGTTTAGTCTGTAAATTAAGACACATTTGTTTAACTTCTCATATTTCCTTTATGAAACAGAATCAATTTAGGGTTGCCTGAATAATTTCTAAACTGTAGTCAGTCTCAGAATACATATTTATTTCAGTTACCTTTACACTCCATGAAAACTTTGATTACTTTTAGAAGCAATATTTGTGTGGATAAGCATGATACATTTTCCCAAATTCTATCATCTTTGTTTACTTCCAGGCAACCCTAGCATGGGCCAATTTAAAAAAATAGAGCATTTTTAAGAACTTTATTTTGAACTGAGGTGTTGGAATTAGAAAAACTGCGTCTAAAATTATCCAAAAGTATCAAAAGCACTAAGCTAGAAACTAGACGAAAAAAATCCAACTTTCTATAACAGAGGTTAGATAAAATTCTCCGACTGAGATTAATGTTTCCTAGTGGCAGAGTTGAATAGGCAAGAAATCCTCCTCCATTCAAGTTAGCAGCGATATTATAAGTCACGTTCTGCTACTGGAGAAACCTTTTTAGTAGGAAATCATGTCTAAAGCACTCCTAGAGCTTTATCTGTCTTTGGGATTCAATTTCCTTTTGAGTATGGATTTTGGATTAATCAATGAAGGGATCACAGTTATTTTATATATATATATATATATATAAAAAATATTTTTTGTAGAAGGAAATGATTTTGTAGGCTATTCAGCACTTCATTCTTTTCATTAGCTTGAGTTCACTTTTCAGACTTTCATATCCTTCATTGCTTTTTACCCAGCAGTACTCAGTATAATTTATACTGTTTTTATTCCACGCCATTCAGTTTTTGGCAATGCAAGATCTTCAAGATGCAAAAACATGGTCAGAAAGGTATCGTTTTGTTTTTTTCCCCTCAACAGTTCACTTTTATAAATGTATCAACTGCAAGAGAATCTGAGAAAAGTCAGTTTCTCAGTGTTTTCCACAAATAAAATCTTCTATCAGATACTGTTATTATTGATCATAATTCCTCATGTTTTTTTTTTATTTTATTTTCTAGAAGATAACAGTTTAAACTTGATGTACCTAATAAATTTTATAACTCATCAGTACTTCTTAATATTTCATTGACTTTTAATTATCAGAAATTTCCCAGGTAACTCTCTGACCCTTCATAAAGCTTTTTGCCCAGTCTGTGAAGCAATATTCTTTTGCTTCTAAAACATAAGTTATCCATATTTCATAGTTGGGTTATTTAATACATGGCTGGAACAAAGCCCTTTCTGTTGAGAATAGTGATATATATGTCCTTCATTAGGAAAGGGGAATTGACATCTACGTTCCAAAGGCAGGACCTCTGGAAATGAGAAGAGGTTACTAAGAGAATTAAAGTTGAATTCATATTCCTGTTCAACTGAGAAGCTTTCTTCCCATGCAAGCAAGATGTGGATTGTAGTGAAGAATGTAATAAACTCTCAAGATTTCATTCAGACACTATAAGTAAATTCATACTGTGCTACAAGAAGATATGGCATAAAAGCTGGCAAAAACACCTGGAAATTCTTCAGTGAGTGATACAGAAAAGATCTTGTGTTCTTATGCAGTGATTGATGCCAAGTATCTGGAAACAAAGAACTGCAAGATGTGTGCTCTAGCAGTGAGTGTATTTATGCCCTTTTGTCTATAGTGGAAAGATTTTACTTTTTTATCCCTGCAGCGGGAACATTCCAGCTTCTCCCATAACGTGTGGTGCTTGACATGTGATGTGTCTGTTGCTATTACAGCTCCTCTCAATGTAAGATCATATCCAAAGGTGAATTAAAAAAAAAAAAAAAATAGAGGGAAACATAACGTGGTTCAAGAAAGCAATGTACAATGTTTTGTACTTAGGTTGGGTTGGCGTAATCCTATATACATACACTAACTGAGAGAAGAACTTGACAGTAGCTCTGCTGAGAAGGACTTAGGAGTCCTGGCAGATGAACAACTCAACAAAAGGAAGCAGTGTGCACTAGTAGCTTGGAAGGCCAATGTTATCTTGGGCTGCATTCAAAGAGGAGTGGCCAGCAGGGAGAGGAAGGTGATTGTCCCCCTCTACTCTGTCCTTGTGAGGCCCCATCTGGAGTACTGCATACCAGTTGAGAGCCCCCAGCACAGGAGGGAAGTGGAGCTGTTGGAGAAGGTCCCAAGGTGGGCCTTGAGGATGATCCAAGGACTGGAGCACCTCTCAGGAGGAGTCCCTCTCAGTCTGAAGGAACTAGGCCTGTTCAGCCTGGAAGTGAGAAGGCTGCAGGGTGACCTCATTGTGGCCTTCCAATATTAAAGAGAACTGATAAACATGAGGGAAATCAAATTTTTATTAGGGTAGATAGTGGTAGGACAAGGGGGAATGACTTTAAACTAAAGGAAGGGAGATTTAGATTAGATGTTAAGGAGAAGTTTTTTCCCTGAGAGAGTGGTGAGGCACTGGCACAGGCGCCCAGAGAGACTCTGGATGCTCCATCCTTGGAGATGTTTAAGGTGAGAGATGGGACCCTGGGCAGTTTGATCTAGTATTTGATCTAGCTGCCAGTAACCCTGTTTGTGGCATAAGTATTGGAATTTGATAATCCTTGAGGTCCCTTCCAACCCAAGCCATTCTATTATTTTGTCAAGATTTTATTATGATGATTCTATGAAAGCTAGATGTGATGCAAATAGAAGCTTGAGTAGCTCTGGTAAGTGAAAAGTAAGTTTCGTTCTGAAAGTAAGTGAGCAGATGAACATTCTGAATAAGATGAGATCCAAAAATGGAAACTGATGGAAAAACTATTTTCTCATAGAACGAAAAGGAACCTCTTTCATCTTGAAGATGTGAAGGACAGATTCAAGAAATCTCACGGTATTTATGGTGGCTGACATCTAGGATAAAATAGAACTGAAGGAGAGGAAGAGGGTTCTTTTGGATATAAACATTTTCTTCAAAGAAAATAGAAAATGGGAAGTGCCGTGAATCTTTCTCATCTTTCTCAGTGATCTATGAGAAGGAAAATGTAGGAAAGCAGAAGGGGATTTTGTTTTACTTTTCTAACATTTTTGAAAGAATGGATTTTTTATTCAGAGTGCAATGGAGGTACAATTATGGTGGAAACCCTATACTAACATACTTTGGGATCTCAATCTCAGCTTGTGTAAGTTTAAAATTATACAGTTAATGGACAGTGAGCACTGTCTGAAGAATTTTCAAAAATTGAGAAATTATTTAAATTAAAAGTAAAGGAAATGCAGACCCACAAACTTTTTTTTTTTCTTCTGGAAAGAACAATAAAGTTTAGCATGCTCCAGGATCTCCATATTAATTTCACAGACTGCAATGGTGTTATAAAAAACATTATGCACACAAGGACTTTAGATGCATTGCAGATACTACTGAAATCTGAAGTACATTTGTGAGAAGTGCATTATATAGCATACTGAACAGGCAGTACATAGAGAATTTGGTACACAAAGCATTTAAGCAAGTTCATCAAGTTCACAAAATAGTCTGTTGCAAAATAAGAACAGAAAATTTTACTTTTTTCACATTATGTCTTTCCTCTGAAATCATTATCCTATCCCTTCGGGTTTATTTAGAATTGTAATAGCCACACTGATTAATTCTCTTGCTCCTGACACAGACTGTGTTCCTGCATTAAATAATGAAGTTTTGTAAACAGGAAAGTTCTATTAACACAAACAATTGTAAAAGTGAAAAAAAACAGAGGAGCTTACCCAAATCCAGAAAACAAACGACAGAAGAGGAAGAAGCCATAGCCCTGGACAAATGATGAAAGGAAGGCAAAGAATCCATTGATAGACATGCATATCAGGAGTGACTGTCTCCTTCCCACCTTGTCTGCCAAGCCTCCCCAGAAGAATGCCCCCACCATCATCCCAAGGTACACTATGCTACCTGCAATACACACAAAAGAAAAAGAAAAAAAAAGAAAAAAAAAAGAAGAAAACAAAATGTTGTTTTGTGAGCTACATAACTGACCACAATTGACCACACCAAAATAGTTTTATGTATTTGAACGATTTGCTTTCAGCAGTCTCCTACGTTTACCAATTCAGTGGCACAGAGATTAATTTATCCTTTTTCAGTGGGTAGAAATTGTATGCATATAGCTTTGCAAATATACCTAGGGAGAACTAAGTACATTTGTGTCCTATTGTGTCTGTGTCAGCTAGTAGACTGAAGCTTAATTTAATTACTAAATAAGGTGCCTCTAGCTAAAACAAAATACAGTCAAATAAGAGTGCATTGGAGAAAGAATGCTACCATTTCCTCAATAATAAACAGCATTCAAACTTCAAAAATTAAACCTCCCCAGTAGAAATAAATTGTTTGAACATTTCCTGAATATAATTCTGTAGGGGATTAATCACTGGGAATAAAACGTGCTAAATCTAAAAGAAGCTGATTATGAAACGACACTTTCCATTCAAGATCTACAGAACTGAAGATATCCAGCTTGATCTTTTTCTCCCTCTTGCTTCACTGTGCAACTTTATTTAAAAAGGCAGTATCTTGTATACATACATAAAAACAAAAACAAAACAAAACAAAAAACAAAACAGGAAAACATTGGAACAGTTTTGTTTTCAAATAATTTTATGCAGACACATTACCATTTAGCTGAATACACTAGAATGAGATGGAGATTTCTTACTTTGAGGTCGTTTTTTTGGTCAAGTTAATGTGATTTTCAAAGCAAAATTGTTTTCCACAGAAAATATAAACCTGAACCATCCGACCATCAATTTTCTTATGTACGCATTATTTAATTTCTAGAGATGAACCTTCTCTGGCACAGTGGAAGAGAAAGCACAACACATTGACCAGAGTGTCAGAAGTGGTTCCTCAAATTTGGGCAGATCCAACCAGATATGTATTTTGTTAGATACAGGTTTTTAATCCTACCTACTTTTTTACTGAGCTTCCCAGATAGTGTTTTATCTGTCTAATGATTGCTACCATCTTGTAAGAAGAATTTAAATGTAAAGTAGCTGGAAGCAGCTGAAAGAATAGGGATGCCTTGTCCTGTGTCTCTTTTCAGTCAGCCATAAGAACTGACAAATTCCCCAGCTGCTCTATTTGGCTTCAGTTGCTATTGTGTAAAATTCTGGACTCCGAAGAATCACTTCTGCCCTGCAGAAAGTAGGTAGAAGGAAAGGAAAATGGAAAAAATGAATCTTTGGTCTTTGTAAGCTGAGTATTAACATAAAGGTTTCTCACTGGTATTCCAATTCTTGGAATTCCATATATTACATTTGAAGTGCTAACCTCTGAAGGGTCTCACGCATCCCAAAATGTACCTGCACATGTGTACACAGTGTACACACAGTGCTGCTTCCTTACGAGGCATCATTTTAAAACACTTGATGGAACACACACACTGCTGATGTAACACACTGTATGTATTTCAGTAGATTATCGTGTTATTTCTACCACATCTATGACAACTATAAACCTGCATATACACTCACAGTGGCTATTTCAGTGGAATACAAATGTTGGACTACAATTTCTTAATTTTCCTTTCTTACATTTTACATTTTTTTGTAATAATAATTATGTTATTTTTATTTCAAGCAGTACACAGAAAACAGTAGTGTAAAGATGATTAGTACCCATTAGTTTTTTGTAAATTCAGGGTCTCTACTGAGTAAGCAATTTTTGATGCTGTCTCTGAGCCTTAATTTTATATTCTGAAGTATAAGTTACTGTGAAGGATTTGTAAAACCACATACAGAAAATTCTCAATTTAATCTGTAAGAGGTTCATGCAGTCTATTTAGTCAAGAAAGCACATGGAATACTATTCTGAGTAGCAGGTAGACATAGTAATTCAGAAATATGAGTGAGCATGAAATATTCACCATGTATCAAAATATTAATAGCTAATAATAATAATAATAATAATAATAATTAAAAACAAGGACCAGATTTATATCCTTTGCATTTTTTCATTCTCTGTATAATTCAAATAACTTCTAAACAGTGCTTCCAACAGTAATGTAAATCCACATATATTTATGTATGTATGTATGAGTTTTGTATACAGAAGCAGCAAACAGAGCAGATTTTTTTTTTTTTTTTGGTCTGTTCCTATTTGGTCTGTTCAACTTAAATTAAGTCAGCCTAACAAAATTTGTAATTAAAATACAATGAATTCTACCTGCTTCAGATGTCTGGACCAAATGAATATCCATCACTCAAAATGGAATCTTTGAGACAGAGGAAAACAGCTATCACTTTTGCTTTCAGCTGTTGTTTTAGCCGATATAAAAAACAAGAAGAGTGTATTTCTAGACTGTCTTCTCCTTCAGTCCCTAAGGATCACATGATGGATCCACTGTTGATGATCACAGAAGCATTTCTTTACCCATGCAAGACCAACAAATTCATTAAGAAAAGCAGTTAAACGTCTTCTCAAAAGACCTTTTATTGGTGGACAGATTTTTACTGTCACTATGATCTTTCTTAATCAAGGTATATTGATGAGAATACAGGTAAGTTGTGAGGTGGTGAATCACTGGCACAGCTGCCCAGAGAAGCTGTGGATGCCCCATCCCTGGAGGTATTCAAAACCAGGCTGGAATGGGGCCTGGGCAGCCTGATCTGATGGGTGCATTCCAATCCAAGGAATTCTGAATCCAAGTTCAGAATTTGCTGAAATCATAAAACATCTTTGTTCTCTTTAATCTGATAGTTTAGTCCAGGAAGGACATAGACATGAAACAGTATTCTCCCTGGCTAATGGGGTTTGGCAGCAGATCTTCATCAGGTTCTTTTTTCTCATCAGATACTAAGGTACTAAGCACATACAAGCACACGTACATTTTTCTGGTGCTAAAGACACAAAGCTTACTGAAAGGGCTTGACATACTTCAGCTACTATAATATCTCCTGTGGGCAGGACTACTCTACCACACTTCACATAGATCAGTGTTCATAAGTAGTTTAGAAATTATATACAGCAAAGCTGGCATTTATGCATCAAATATAACTTAAATTAGCAAAAATAGTTCAATGGCTGCACTGACAGCAGATCAATTTCAGAAAGTCAACTAAAGTTCTGATATATATTGATATATGTGATTTATACTCTTATTCTTTATTACTTATTCTTTATTACTTCATATCACATACTTGCAGGACATTGGCTTTCCTAGTCTACAATCTCACGTAAGAAATACTCACAGCAAGCCAGTCAAATATTTAGATATATATTTGCACCTATATCTCTGAAATAGTTTATGCATATAATAATAATCTTACTGGATAGTTACATTTCTCATGCTGTATAGAAACATCAAATCCTCCTCAAAAACACTGGAACATAGCAGTTAAATGTTAAATTGAAAGGTAAATTATCCTATTGACTGTAGAATCTTAGAATCCGTATTTATTTTGTACACTACTCATAAATTGCATGTTACATTTTGCATATTGCAGTAATAGTAATTTGTTATAGTAAATGTGTAAAAATTAACTATCTTTTCGTTTGCCGTTAACTTTAAAAACAATAGTCAGAAAAACAGTAATTTTATGGACATATGTATATGTATACAGATCTTAATGTCACATGACATCTTGAGGAAGGTTCTTCCTCTCTTTCTCAGCATTTATTACTGATGACAAAACTATCTACATTTCATTTTCTTTTAGGTACACCACCTAAAAGAAAGTGCCTCTAAAGAAATTCATATAGCACAAGACACACAGCTGTTTTTACATCTAGTATGAGTATAGAAATATATTTTAAAAATAATAAAGTTCATTTTAAAATGCAGAGAAACTAGTGACACGCACAATACATCTTTCATTTTCCCCATGAAGTAAGGAGTAATCTCAAAAAACTCCATCATTTGATGGAAAGTTGCTGAGAAGAAACATATGGCAGCTAAAAAGAAGCATCCCATACTAAGACAAATATTCCCTTCTATTGTTATTCTATCAAGTTGCAAAAACCTGCATCTTCCTCCAACAGCAGAACTTCTACATTCTTCAGTGATTTTTCCCACTGTGCAAATGTATAAAATATACAAATCTTTCTTCTTCATATGAGGAGCAGTCTTTCAACAGAGCAGCCAACTGCCCATGCTTAAAGTTTTCTGAAAGTATATTTTTATTCTGAGACTCCATTGTTAGAGAGGACAATGTAAGCATCTGTTAAAAGAAATTACTTAGTATGATAATTCATTTTGCTTATTTCATAAGAATTATACTGTACTTTAATCTGTATTCTTATTTTTTCAGAGATCTTCCTATACATTATTGCCCAGAATACAACAGCTTATAGTGGAGAGCTTAAATACATATAAATTACATGAGCAAGAATAGCCAAGTTTATCTTTGTTTTCGCTCTGATAAGCAGTGTACCAAGAGATTAAAGATTACAATCATTCACAGCTATAGTTATTATCTATCAGTAACTTCTTTGATCAGAAAAATGGAAAAGGATTGCAGCCAGTAAAAAATGTGCTTCAACCAAATAAGCATCTAAGTAAATTTTCATAAGGGGAAGCAATTAAAGCAAACACTTTCATTAAGATGAGGACAAACGTAAGAAAACTGTAATTACTTTAGAACTGGTAAAAGATCTCTATTTCTTAGAGCTATTGTCTTTACAAGTCTAAAACCACCTGTATAGATCATGTCTTCATGTTCTGTTCCCTGTCTCACTGGTACTAAACCTCCAATATATTTCTCCACAGCAGTCATTCGTTCTTTTCTCTAAGCAGGGCTGGAAGTAGTGTAATAACAATGAGTATGTTTATGAATTGGTAGTACTTTCTTAAGATCTAAATGAATAAGGGACTGAAACACTTACTGTTTATACACTTGAAAAAAAGTGACAGGTACTGCTTTCAAAAACTCAGTCTGGTACCAACCCAGAAATTTCAA